TTCTAAAAAAATTTTTTTACCAACCTTTGATTGCATCGTAAGCTCAATTGTTGTAGGAGCTGTATCAAGATTATAATAATTGTGAGCAAAAAAAATTTCCCGACATGTTTCATACGATAAACTGCCTCGTATTTCAAATCCATTATATAGAAAGAACATTGGTAACCTATTATTTAAAAAAGCATAGATTAAATTATATTCATAATCCTGTTCATTCAAGTCATAATTCTTACCTTCCACTAACAATCCACCTAGACATAGATCATTATAACAAATTCCATTTTCAGCAGATTTATCAATAATATCTTTTAGTTCATTTCCCAATTTAACTAAATCAGAGGAATCCTTGCTTGGCGGTTTGACTTCCATAACTAATAAATCAACTTTTCTATTTTTGTAAGAATAGCCAACAGAAAAATCTGGTATTCTGCCTTTTAGTGATGGGTCAACTTCTTTTTCCTACGAGCAGATGCTTATAAAACGTCAGTTGGCCTGAAAATGATAATTGACAAGATCAATAATTGTCATTGAAACACATATCAAAAGCTATTACACAAAAATAATTACCATTTGAGTTTTGTGTTTGCAGTATCTTGGTAAAAAATTTTTAATACAGAATCCAATGTCTTGTGAACAAAGGCATCTTCCTTTATGTTTTTATCCATGTTTGCTGAAAGGCTATTATGACTACAACATGATAAAATAGTAAACAAAATTAATTCAAATGAGCAAAAATATAATATGCTTGTAAATACTTACATTGACTCAAAGAATTCTAAAACCAAATCATGTTCATTATCTTTGGTCAATTTTTGTCATCCTCTAATACACGGCATGACTTCATTGAAATTTTTATTGGCAATCTGATTAAACAAACATTTGAAGGATTTTAGTCAATTCAAAGAGAGTAAAGACTATTATATCGTATATTTGACAAGATTTTTTTAAAAAGACCTTGCCTTAAATATTTTATGGCACCTTACAACATCATCTTCTGAAAGCTCAAAATATTCAATTTCACTCCTGATATTGTTAAATAATGTTCCATGTCGCAATCCAAAAAAGGAAACAAAATGGTTGTAAAGGTGGTTGCAACCAGTGGTTCCAATCGTTTTTATATAACGCAAAGATGGTAGCAACCATCATCAAAAGTTGCAGCCGGTATCCTTATTGTTAAAAATACCTTCCCATGTAATTTTATCAAAATATTCACGAATTCCACTTGGTCTATTTTCTTCAAATAAAAAAATGTGGTTCAAAGATTTGCAATTACCATAGACAAAAGAGTAAGTAAATATCAGCCTGAATCAAGAAATACAGAAGACTTGTACTTTCAAAATCTCTGAGATATCAGTTTCTTTTAATTGAAATCTATCTGCATTACATGAATTACGAAATTCCATTAATTCAAGTGTGACATCACTCATTCCACTATATTTACAAAGAAAAACCTTCAGATCAATTTTTTTTCAAAAATTAACTCTTCAAATAAAATTAAAGATCAGATATTACATGTATTACTTCATTGCTTAAATATGTTTCCTCTACTCCTTGTTTTTTTTTCTTACTGCAGCAGACATCGTTCTTATTAATTTTTTTTTAAAAAAAAACACGTAATCAATATTAATAATATTATTATTGGACTTTGTGTTGCACAAAGATTCGTTTTTGGGACAGACTCGAATTGATTTTTTTTTTCCCTTGGAAAAACAATTCTATTGTTCAATGATAAATCATGAGTGATGTTGTTGGGTATGGTTTGGCTCTGAAGCGGTTGTAGGTATTTTTTTTATTTGTATTGATATGTATGTGTCTTTTATTTTATATAAATGTACAGTGTGTAAAGAAATTATTGGCAAAAAAATCGTAAAAACTTGAATTCATATAACTTTACCAAAATCAGGCCAAATCAGATAATCTTTTTTTATTTTAAACGTCAAAAATATCTCTTAATTTTTATTATTAATATAAAGTTTTTAAAAACTACATATCGAAAATTTTTTTATTAAAATGATTAAATCCAAACCGAAAACACAATAAGAAAATATATTACATTTTTGGAACATAGGAATTCGCACTGCTAAAGAAATCCACAAAACAACACGGATTCCAATGCGAGCTATCTATAACAACTTGGAAAAAATTGGTAATTTAGATCATAAGAAAGGGGCTGGTCGTACTAAAAAAATCACCCCTAATATTGCACGGTACATCGGTCAGAATATATGCCGAGACTCCACTATTTCTCTGCGTTCTATAAAAACAAAATTGGCTGTAAAAGGTGTAGAGGACTCACATACAACAATTGCAGCACACTTGGCGAGTCTTGGTTACAATAAAAAGTTACCGCACTCCACCCCAATGTTAACTGAAGCCCATAAACAACAACGAGTAGAATGGGCGCGAAAGCACTTAGAAGATGACTGGAATAAAACCATATTTACTGACGAGACAGCATTCCAGCTCTTTAGGAATACTGTTGAAAGATGGTACAAGAGTGAGCGACCTGTATGACGGATTCCAAAAGATCGTACTAAATATTTGCATGGGGAGACTTTTCTATAAAGGGTAAGACCAGCCTCTTTTGTTTCACAAATATTATGAACGCAGAATTTTATGTTGAAATCCTAGAAAACCATATTCCTGAGATTCGAGAACTAATGGGGAGACATTGGCGGCTTCAACAGGATAATGACCCTAAATACACTAGCTGTCTTGCCCAATCATTCATTAGTGAGAATGTCCCCGACATTATGGACTGGCCAGCAAACAGTCCTGACTTAAATCCTATTGAGAATCTCTGGAATATTGTTAAGAGAAACGTTGAAAAGAGAATTCCAAAAAATCTGCAGGATTTATGGTTGAGGAATGGAATGCCATTCAAAAAAGCATGTTAATCAATTTAGTAAAATCGATGAAATGAAGATGTGAATTAGTTATATAGAGTAATGGAGAAAGAATATCATATTAAAAATTTATCAATAAATCTCTTATACTCAAGTTACCAGATCAAGTATTAATCATGTTGATTGCTACAGTCAGGGTTGGAAATCATACACGTACACATGCACGTATCGTACATGTATGTATGTACATATGCATGTATGAGCTTTACAAACATATCATGTGATTTATGATAATTTTTATTGGTTGATCAAATGTAATATATATTAATAATAATAATAATAATCAAACTCTTGTCATAACGGATTTTTAAAAATTTTTGCTTTGCATGTCACATGTAAAAACATATAAAAATCTGCTGTGGCAAGGTTAGTATTTATATTAGTATTTAGTAATCTTGCCACAACGGATTTTAAATAAAATTTGTTTACGTGTACCGTTCATCCACTGTGGCAAGGTTTAAGGATACCGGCTGCAACTTTTGATGATGGTTGCTACCATCTTTGCGTTATATAAAAACGATTGCAACCACTGGTTGCAACCACCTTTACAACCATTTTGTTTCCTTTTTTGGATTGCAACATGGAACACTAGCAAGGTTTGACTATATTGTGGAATTAACTACATACTGTATATGATTGAAGATATTTAATACTACTGATATTTAATACTACTATTAATTATTTTGAATTGATAATATAATTAACAAGAATGTAGAGATAATTTTTTTATTTCATTATAAATAAATAGAAAAAAAAATTTAGGAATCACGGTAATAATAATACTATTAATACTACTACTAATAATAATAATGCACCATAGGATAATACAAGTATAATATGATAATCAGGGGTTTTCTGATAACGAAGTAGTATTACGATCTTTAATTATAGTAATCGTAATAGTAATAAGGCTGACGGCATAATATTATTATAGGATTTTACAAAATAATATTTTATCACCACAGAACGTTTGCACAGCGAAATTGCACAACACTGACTATAATGATAACATATATAATACTACTACATAATAACAAGGGGTTTAAATAAGCACATATAACACGATAATAAGGTTTTTTCTGATAATGAAATAGTATTAAGACCCCAGTTACAACATCTGATCATTAATTATAGCAATAGGATTATCGGGTTAATAATAATATTATTATAGGATTTTACAAAGTAATATTTTGTCACCGCAGAAAATCATCATTTCTGATACATCGACATTTGTACGTATGTACATATGTAAAATTTCCTCGTACAGATGTACGACCACAACGAAGCCATACGAACTCAATGGTACGAAGTCAGTCGTACGTACGTTCGAAGTTTCTCGTACAGTGAAATTGCACAACCCTGATTATGATATATAAAGCGATTGTCACACAATGCTCACAAAATATAAATTTAGCATAGCAGAAGTTTGTTGTTACACGAAACGTTATACAGAACTCATTGCTTCTGAAACTTCACCAGTATATAGTTGTTGCCTCTCTAAATTGGTGATCAAGTTCAGATCCAATTCAAATCCAGTTTATCACTTACTTTTTATTGCCAGAATGTTTGCCGTGTATTGTAAAGCTACGTTGCACAATATAAAAAATTAATGTAACATTTCAAATTTCCATTATGCTTATAAATTTTGACTGTGCCATATATACAAATTAGTATTTTTTGTGAAAATCTGCTGATAATTCCAAATTTGGTTAAACCGTCTTGACATTCTGACATTTTATTATTTGACATTTTTAGAACATTTTGTTTAAAATACATTTTGACTTTAGACATATCCTAAAACAATTTTGAACACCCATCTATAGTGAGAAATAAATTCTAAGACTTGCTATTTCCAGATTTTGACTAACTAAGATATTTAAATTTAAATTAAAGCCATAAATAATCAACCATTTTTGATAGTTTTTTTAATTATTAGAAAAAAAATAATTTCTTGATTTGTATGTATAAATTAACGGCCCTGTTTTTTTTTCCTTGACTGTTATTACAAATTCAAAAATCTCAATTTTATTTTTGATTCGCTTTATCATGTATTATGTTATTGCTTTATTGTTTGTGAAAGGGGCGAAGAAATTATCAGGTTACTTTGTATAACCATCCAATTGCTAAAGTTCGAACTCTGGAATCAAATGTTTGCTTTGTTAGGTTATGCCCACATAATATTGTTTTTATTTTCATAGTCTTAAGTATAAATTAAATTAAATTAACTAATCTATATTGTCTATATTATCTTACATTAAACTTGAACTGAGTTTATATCCATAAATTTATAAGATCTAGGATAAATTTCACTAAAATTAAATAAAATAAAAACAGAAATTTACAAATTGTGTTTGTATTCTTGCAAATGAATTCATTAACAAATCTACAATAATCATAAATCATAAACTTACGCTTGTAATATGCCTACTAATGCTATCAGCGAACACAGTGGAGTTGTAATATTAGTGAAAAAGAAAAATATTCTGCTTACAATCGGTTGATTAAATAATTTAAGATAAAATATTGATAATAGTATCAATGATATACCATAACATAAAAACATATATATACAAGTATAATTTAATATTTTCATCTGAGGAATTGAAGAAATTAAGAAAAATTAGTTGAAGCATCAATTTGATTAGTTAATTGAAGAAGTGGTTTAATGATTTTCACAAACCTTTCTTATATTTTGTTTAAGTCTTAAATTTCTCCATTCCAATTTTGATAGTTTTCTTGTTCCATTGTTATTTCTATTGTTACTGTTATTGTTGTTAAAATTATTCCTCTCCTCAACAATTTCTTTTTCTTTTTTTCCCTCATTTTTTAGTTGTGATTGCTGCTGTTGTTTTTGATTATTCAAATCTTCTAATTCAATATCTTCAATATTATAATTGTCATGACTGTTACTATTATTGTTGTTGTTGTGATAATTGTTATTGTTATTATCATTATTACCACATATACTACTATTATTACTGATCCTATCCCTATTACTATTATTATTATTACTATTACTATTATTATTACTATTATTGTCATCATTGTCTAGATCATTGATTCCAATTAAAATACAAGAAGCTTTTGTCAATTGAACTAATTTAAACCCATAATAAGCAGCTGATGCTGCGAATAATAATTGGACTATACCAAAGCCTGACCAATGTAACCCAAATATAATATTTAATAATTCTTTATCATTATTTTGTCTAGTGATTCCGGATATTATAGCTAATGATGGTGAATATATAAAATGAATTATAAAAAATGTCCAATAAATTTTGTTGATATGTGATTCTGGTAATAAGTAGACACCTTTTGTTGGTTGTTGATGCGAAGTAAAATTGTGAAGATACATTTTTAACAGTGCTCTAAAGCTTGAATGGGAATGAGAACGAGAGAAATCAATTAAAATTAAAATAGTGCCTCAATTGATAAATATTATCAGATTCAAAGTTAACTGCAAGTATTAATTTGAACAACTTGATCAATTGGACATTTAAATATTTTGACACATACATTCCGGCAAGATAAGTTGCAACCGTTAGGTCCGCAGGAATCCAGCTGAAATCATAAATTAATTCTCTGGCGATTGGACTTGAAGCAAATAAATTAAATTGCTGTACAAAATTTGCAAATGCACGTACTAAAACAAAATATGATAATTAAAATAATAATTAATTAATTAATTACAACGATATGACTTTACCTCCACTAAATATTGAAATTCCTAATAAATAGCCTTCTAAAGGCAAAAAAAATCCACTGTTCTTATCCCATAGATGACTATTCCTAACTACTAATCTTATAAATAATAATATTATTCCACCAATTGCAACGCTTAGAAATAATATATTTGATAATATGTAAAGGTTTTTAAGTACTGTATCGTAATTACAATTTGCTATTGAATATTCCCATCTATGTTATAATTTATATAAAGTTTTAATATTAATTAATAAATATTTCAATTGAAATTATTATTATACATACTCGCATTCTAGTAAAGCTGAATCACTATCATTCATCGATAATATCAATTCTCACATTTAATAATAATTATCAAAAGAAAAAAATTTTCATTTATTATTTATATTAAAAAATTATCTTTTGTGTTTCTTATCCCGTATTTATTCATTCTAAATTAATCAGTTCGAATTTTTATTTTTATTTTTTTTATTATTATTTCACACGAAAAAAAAAAAACAAATGATCAAAATAATAAACTATCACTACGTAGAGATCATTTATTACCTAATTGGTTGATCAAATATTTTATTGGCTCATAATTGATAGATAAGATAATTTTTTAATTAAAAAGCCATGCACCATTCCTATTGTTTACTCATTTTTATTTTTTATTTTTAATTTTTTTTGAATCTAATTTTTTAGTAAAATAATTAATTATTAATTATAAATATTATTATTATGTAATCAGAGTAGTGTAATGTATACGGAACCTGCACTCTTTAGTGTTACACAAGCATTCGAAAGAACCACCTTTCATCTTGTAATCTATTGTTAGTTCCTCCATTTTGTCTATATCACGTACTGCAAAAAATGCAATCCTTTGGCTTTTTAAGTCTCGATTTTCAACAACGAACTAATGACAATGACAACAATAACAAGGGTAACTAATTTATTATGATAAAGATTCAATTTATCTATAAATAAATTATAGATATATATATAACTTACTGGTATGGTGATTAGATTGGGATTACATGAATGATTTAGGAATCTGCTAATATTACAGTAATAATTTGTATCAATACTATTATTATTATCATTGTCATCATTATTATTAGTAGTAGTATATCACATATTAGAAATAATATATATATATATATTTAGTAGTTTAGTAAAATCAACTCAATCATTAAAAAATAAATATATTAATTAATATTATTACCTCAAGCAATTAATTGAATCAGCTACTGTAAAACCATAATCAAGATCAAAAAATGGCATTATATGTAATTTGTTGTAGCAAATTGTTCTTGTTAATGCTGTTTTTGAATCAATCACTTCTCCCATATGTTCTGTAACAAATCCTCCTCTTTTAATATTTTCAAGTGTTTGAACTCCCCATCCTTTATCATCGGTTTTGAATATCTATATCATTCATCATCATCATTGAAAAATCAATGTAAGCAAAGCGATATTAGCTGGTCGCTGATTTAATTAGTTAGTCATTTATTTATTCATCAATAAATCAATTGATCAATCATTTATCATTACCTGTAAAGTTCTGTTTAATTTTGGACTATTTTGAATGATTCTATTCCTGCAATTTGAATTACAACTACATTTAGAATTACATTCATATAAGATTCCCACATTAGAATGAATCAATCTTTTGTTTTGATAAGGATATCCTCCTGAATTCAATGATATTATTATTATTACTATTAATATAGTTAACTAACACTATCATAATTAATTAATTACCTTCCATATGGTCATCAATACAAGCACAATTATTCTAATTAGTATAATAAAAATAATCATTAATTATATAAAAACAAAATTAAAATAATGATTAATAATAATAATAACTTTGCAATTATCTTCACAAGAGCATCCATAATTATATGTTGTATCAGGTTCTATAACTTTTATATTAAACAAATTTTCGGCAACAAACTAAAAAAAAAATTTTTTTTAGAAAAATAGTATTATTAACATATCTATATATATTGTGTTACCTCTAAGTAAGGAATATCATCTTCTTTATCAATATCATTTACAACATAATATGGTCTTAACATTCTTGGTGGCATGGCATTTTTATCCCATAACTCTGCAAATCTTTTATCAAATAATAAAACTGATTCTAATTCCTTTAATTTTTTTAAGACCTTATCACCAAATTCTTTTATTGGTGTTTCAATTGGTAATCCTGTTGATAGTTTTAATTTGTGTTGATAGGTCACCAAACATGATTTTTTCTAAAATATTATAATTTGTGCATGAATGTGAATTTAAAATTTTTTAAAAAAGATTTATATATATAATATGATAAAGACAATTATATTTTACTGTAAATTGTTTCCAAATTTCATATATTTTATTCGGATTTCTAAATATAATTGCACTCTAAAAACAAATATTATTATTATCAATTATTAATGGAAGTAATAAAACTAAAGAAAATTTTACTTACAATTGCTTGAATAAGCATTGATGAAACTTGATAAGAAAGGTACTTCCTAATTAAAGATTCTTCTTTTTCTGTAATATTTTCAATTTTTCCATTCCTTAAATAAATTTATTAGAGCTTATATTATTAGTAATTCATTTATATTATTAGTATGGAATTCAAATTATTTATTATATTTACATTCTATTTATTCTATGTATAACCCATTCCACTGACAAAAAATCATCATTAAGTTTTTCACTTAATGTTTTAGTAAGGTGTACTATGCTTTCCATATTTTTAATCCATAAATTGACTTTTCTTGGTGTAATATCACTTAAAGCCATCTTTTTTTTATTAACTTATTAATTTATTTGATTTATTTATAAAGTTAGTATTCCAAAAAATGAAAAATATATTTCTTTTTTGAAAGTTGGATTAACGGAGGAATATGATTGGGTAGAAGGTGTTGCGATCTGGCGATTTTAAACACTTCTTTGTGGAGTGCCCCAAAATGAGGTTCCTTAATTGCTGATGAAGAACCCGAAACAACTATATTAGAGGTATATATATACATCCGCTGCTTAAGAGTGTATCACAACACTCCTGGGTACACTAAAAAGCGCTTTGTCACTCCTCTTTAGTATAAGATAGTCATACCTCTACCTAGGGATGGGGACGGTTTATGTCACGTCCGGCGATGAATAATATTTTTAATAATTGATCCGTGACGATTAATATACTAAATTACAGGTGACATTTATATTGCCAAAACAAGACAAGTTAATTGTCACTTATAATTTAGTAGTTAATCGTCACGGATCAATTATTAAAAATATTATTCGTCGCCGAACGTGACATAAACCGTCCCCATCCCTACCTCTACCCAATCAAAAATAGCATAGTGGACATTCGTTTTATCACTTGTGATAAAATCGATCGTCGATCTTTTTTATATTGTGAAACTTGCTATTTCAATTGAATTTAGAATAGAAAAAAGTTGCGTGACTGTGTATATACAAAACCCATCTTATGGAAAATCTATTTTTTTTTATATTAATATATTGCTTTGACTTTTCTTTATATTTTGGTAAAACTTGATCAATTTGATCAACAAATTACCTTAGAAGTAAAAGTTTAAGACTTCTGTGATCTTGTCAGTCACTTGGTGGACAAAAGTTTGTGTCCAAAATTTCTTTTCAGTTTATTTCAAAACTATACTAATTAAAATATTGTAATCTTTATATCATTCGAAAGCTCTTGTTCTTGAGAATATGTTCATGACAGTATGTCCTGAAGGGTTGAATATTGCATTGTCAACAATGGTTGGCCAACTAGATATTAAATATATATATTTTTTTGAAATAAAAAATAAGCCATTTATCTATCAACACTTTGTTATTTTTACATCATTTTTTAATTTTTTTTATAGTTGGCTTGGTCTAAATTTTGGGCAAATTTTAAAAGTATAGAAGTCACTTTCTGTCCTACCTTTTAAAAAAAATAGCTTTATTAGTTGATAGAATATGTCTTTAGTTTTAATGTAATAGAGAGATTTTCTCAAAAAAATTATT